GCACGAGTTTGTCACAGATGCGAATGCTGCTAGCTGCCTGGGGGTCGGGGTGTAATGCACACACATCCGGAGAATGCAACACATGGCGCAACTTAGTAGCCTTCAGGATCTCATGCATATGCACAATTCTGATGAAGTTTCCGAAGGTGTCACGGGAATGAGCAGTATATCATTGTCGGACGTGTTGAAATTGCCGAATAAGGCATTCAAGTTCACGGACGTCCGCAGTCATGTCTGCATTAGAAACATTTATATACAGCCATTGCAGCAGGCGAGCTCGCCAAGCGGGCGTAGCCTGCTGAATGGAAGCAACAACTTCGTCACAAACAGAACTATATATATTGTCACATGATATCAGAGCGCCTAAGCGAAAAAAACAAAAAAACAAAAAAATCTTAAATTCGTTTTTAATCTTCTTCCTTACAACTCCCCCTGTTCAGAACCTCTTGCGTACAAGGCCGCCCAAGTGGATGTAGGTTGAGCGGCGGCTTGTCACATGATATCAGAGAACCAAAGCGAAAAACAGAAATAAAACAAGGAAAACAAGAAAAACTTAATTCATTTTTAATCTTCTTCCTTACAACTCCCCCTGTTCAGAACGTCTTGCGTACAAGGCCGCCCACATGGAGGTAGTATATTGTACTTATACATACATACATGACGATATATACAGGACGATATATACATGACGCTATACACATCCATAAATAGATGTAAACAGAGCTGCCCGGTAAACCGTAGGCACAGAGGGAGGGAGAAGAGGACAACAAACGAGCGAGGGGCTGTGACAAACTGTTTCGTTGGAGTTTCACCGACTCATTAGGAGGCTGAACCCTCAACAGTCTGCGGAATCCCCTACCTAACTGATTACACTAAGTTATAATCCACCTTAACCCCGGTTGTGGCTAAGCATCAACGACTGCCCGACAACTGGTGATACCCTGAGGTGGTGGGGACCACCAACCAATGCCCTCAAGGTACCTGTGACGAAAATCAAAGCAGACTTTTCCTCACCCACACCAGATGGATACGTACGTACATCGTCAAACAGATACATACCGATATATAACCAGTTTGTCACAGCCCCTCGTTTGTTGCCCTCTTCTCCCTCTCTGCCTACGGTTTACCGGGCAGCTCTGTTTGACGTTATATACATATGTATATATCGTCAAACAGAGCTACCCTGTAAACCGTAGGTGGCCGAGAGGGAGGGAGAAGACGGCAACAAACGAGGGGCTGTGACAAACTGTTTCGTCGGAGTTTCACCTCCCTACTCGTCAATCAGTAGAGGCTGAATCTAGTCTATACATATGTAGTCAGAGAGAGCTGCCCAGTCAACCGCAGACAGAAAGGGAGAGCAGGGCAAGAAACTGGGCGCTGCGGTAAGCAGTTCGTCACGTCATATACTATTTGATTCTATACCTGTCATTTCAGGGGGTACATGGTTGTACGGACTGGTCTAGGTGAGTTGGCAGCAGGGACAAATCCATTCACAGTGAATGTGCTAGGTTGTACCGTCTTCACGGCGATAGAACGCCCGGTCATTTATCGCCGTATCTAGACGGGAAGTTGCGCCACATACAGCCGGGCGTTCTACTTGGGTGACGAAGACGGTTGTCTATAAATTGCAAACAGGGCTGCTGAGCAGAATCATAAATGATGGATGACTACCGTCTTCACCCGCATAGAGCGTCCGGTCATTATAGCTGCATCTGGACTGGAAATTGCACCAAATACCGCTATAATGACCGGGCGTTCTATTCTGGTGAAGACGGTAGCGAAGAAACAAGCTCTCATAATCTGTGCTTCAGGAGGGTGGCAACTCCATGCCACCAAAGGATAGTAGGACAAGGAGAAGGAGAAGGAGAAGGAGAGGACATAAATTTACATTTCCAGTATTTACTATTTATTTATTAAATTTTATTTAAACTTCTTGCAGTAATAAATTCATGATTTTGAAATGACTCTCACTTCCTGCTTAAGCCGAAGTGCCGCTTGGTACTCGTATTCCTGCCTCGATTTTGACCGGTCTGCATAGGCTCTCGCTGCGTTCTTCAGCTGCTCAGGATCACTCTGTGCCATTTTGCGCGTCATCTCCGACAACTGCTCATCGCTCAGTTTGCCCAACTGTTCCGCAGCATACTTCATATCGTCCGCCCGTACGGATTTCAGTCGTTCTTGAGCCATCTTAATCGACTCCGGGGTTACGTTCATCTGAATCAGAAGAGCAAAAAAAAAAAAAAAAAAAAAAAAAAAAAAAAAAA